TCTGGTGCTCTTTGCATATGACCCAAAGTTTCGTACTCGTTGATGAACTCCTTGTACAGCTGGGCATATGCCTGATTATTGGTGAGTTTGCTGACTATAGATCTGAGCTGACGCGAAGCCTTGAATTTCGACTTCCCGAGAGCTGCTGTGGAGGTTTTCAACGGGAGCGTCACTATGTACTGTCCCGTTGAATTTCTGCTGTGTGTAGATCTGAAGTGTTTCTCACACTCCAGCTCGTCTGGTGATAACTCTGAATTTTCTGACTGCTGAACTGGTAACTCTTCCTGGACCCAAAATTTCTGGAGAAGTTCTAGAAGTTGTTCGTTTGAGGAAATTCTTACAGCTGATAGGGAGATCCTCGCTGAACAACCGGTGCAGTTGATTGGATCTGATAGAATCCAACCAAAGACTGTGCGTTGGCCGACGACTTTTGACTGCTTGGACTTGACAACTTCATCTCTGATGATTCGCCCGTAGTTGTCAGCCACTATGATGATATCGATTGGTCCGGGCTTGAGATACTGCTGATCTGCTAGCTGGAGATTTTCTAATGAACCGATGTTCGCTGAGGCACATGAGAACGATGGTAGAATTGCGGTGAGTTTCTTCAATATGTGGGCGCTGATCTAAACCTGTTGATTTCCGTTGATTGCCTGAAGTGTAACTGATACCAATCCTCTCATGCTGCCGGAATTAACTCCTCCAATTCCGATTGATTCCAACGTTGTTGATTTCCTGGACAAGTGCAGTTGATTTACTAGTTTTTCTGAGATGAATGACACCTCTGATTCCTGATCGATGAGGACTCTGGCTCTGGTGGAGAATCCTCGTGGTGATTTCACTGTAACTCGGGCTGTCGCCAACAGCACCGATTGTTGATCTTCTGAAGGTTGATTTGACTGCTGGTTCCCATTGGTCATCTGATTGTTGAGGTTAACTGCTGCTGTTGATGTACTGGGCTTAGCTGTTGAGAATGACCAATGAGAAAGTGAATGTACTGATTATATTAAAGGAACATTCACTTACTCTGGTCCTCGTCGATCCTCTCTTCTGCAGGTCTGTTGGCAGTTCCAGAGAACCCTGCAGCTTCCGAGTCACGACGTGGAGGAGCCCATCCTGTGTACCTGCTGCCTCCGTGGATCAGAGTGTGGTGAGATCCTTTGCACTTGTGGCATTGTTCATCTGAGCTGCACCTGTCTTTTTTGTGCGTGCCCAGGCACCTGAAGCATAGTTTCTTGTCGATGGCCAGGCCGTTTCTCTTTACTGGGTCCAGCTCCTTGAATTGCTGACACTTGTCAACAAAGTGGTTCCCTTTGCACATGGAACACTCTTTCCTTTGGTGACTGTTCTGCTGAGCGCTGTCCTCCACTTGTTGAGTTGCTGCGTAAGCTCCTTTCTTCTTAATAGGTGGTTTGCTGGGAGCGGTGATCTGCTGTCTGGAGTGGAGTTTGGACCCTGCGTTGATACCCCTGGCACAGGACTCCACGAATACGACGAACTCTGTGAGACTGGGGAAATCCTTGGCGTCTCCCAATTTCAACTCCCATTGTCTGAGAGTCTCTGCGTCCAAGGACTTCCTCAGGAGGTGAGCGAACAGCTGTTCAGTTAGGTTCGCTTCTGAAAGGCCGGCCACTGTTCTGAGCTGGTCCAGCGACTCGACCACTGCTGCCACGTTGTCGGTGAGATTCTGTTCCGTGGGTTTGGTGATTTTTGGCAACTCCAGGACTCGATTAAATAAGTACTGTGCCAAAAGTCTGGGATCATCGTACTTCTTTTGGAGCTTTCTCCATGCGTTCTCATAATTCTGATCGCTGATGGGTATCGTAGAGATCAGAGCTGCTGCTGGTCCTCTGAGGCTGCTCTTCAGCCTCACCAATTTCTCCACTGGGGGAATTGTAGATTTGCTGCCCACCAGTGAAGTGAAGAGGTCACTGAACTCCTTCCACTGTGAAGGATTGCCATCAAAAGGCTTGATGTCCAGTCTCTTCAGCTGATCGTGATGTTGAGGACTCGGTGGTGTACTGGGTGACTGAGCTTTCTTAGCTAGTTGACCTCTCAACCTGCTGATGAGCCTGACGCATTGCTTCCTGGTGGTGGCTGCCTGCTCGAATACCCCGTTCGCGAGATACGGGTGATCGTGTGGAATGGACTCGATCAGGCTCCCCTGGATGGTGAGTAATTCTGCCCATTCGGAATCCAGGATCCTATCGTGGCCGTCCAAATCCTCGGAGGTGACATCCTCGTCGGTCATGATGACCTTGGTGAGTTCCTGATAAACCTCCGTAATACTGTCCACCCTGAGCTGTATCTGCCTCAGTTGGATGAGTTGATGCACTGTGAGACCATCCTCTGGAACTTGAATAATCTCGGAGTACCTCTGCTTGACCTCCGAAATTAATTTGTCCCCTTGATTGAGTGTATCTCCATCAGGGGCATTGATGATGACCTTCGGAATTCCAGGTGGTGAGTTTACTGCGCTCGTGGATGGATTAATTTCCTCCTTACTGTCCTGCAATCCTTGTTCAATTACTGTTTCGGAGCCTGACATGGTGATGTACTGTTTTGTTTACAACCTGTCAGATCCCTTGGTAAATGAGTACGAGAGTTTCTACTTTACCGACCGCCTGCGGTTTACCACTCGGTGAGTTGCTGTGTTGCGTCGGTAACTGGTCGTCTCTGCTGCTGTGAGGCGCCGCCTGTTGCTGGGCGCTGGGCCCGCGCTGAGACTGTTCGGCAACACTCGGTGATTCTCGCTGACTCTCGACTCTACGGCACGTTGAGGCACTGGAGGACAATGGTGTTTATACTTCTATTGTCCGGAGAATATAAACACTGGCACAAACACGTCTGAATTTGTCCGTTGAGTTTCTGATGTGAACCCCGAATGTCCGCGTGGGTTTTTCATTGCACTGAATAATTTCACACTACCGATTCCCGAATCCGGCTCGAAGGACCATGTGTTTGGAGGGAAAACTGAATTTAGGGTGGATTGGGAAAGGGGTAGTGGAAATGCCGGTGAAAAACGAACGCACTGAGTCTATAAAAATTATACTGATTTATTCGGTGGAATCGAACCACCTTAGCGTCACTTGTTACACTCTGCTAATTGTCACTTAAATTGATTCAAACTGTTCTGAATTTAACACTGGAGATTTTCTGAACAATATACTGAATAATAGGAGACTGTACTGAGAATTTAAATAGGAGATGTACTGAGAAAACAAAATGTCTCGAACGAGTGATGTACTGACGCTGTTCGCACAACCGAAAGTAGCTTTAGAAAAACGATATACTGCTCGCTCAACTCATTTGCTACGACTCTCTACGACTGACTGTCTGTAACTGACTCTGAGATTCGGTGATTGACTAGGCCTGACCGTTGACCCGAGGTTTCCCGAAGATTTTCGTAAGTGGCCGATCTGTGGTCAACCGTTGATATACTGAATTTTGACTACGTTTTAAACAAACCTTTCTTGTAGTGCAAACTCAGACCTATAAAAAAAGTTATTACAAAAAACTCTCCATCTCTTTTAGATTCGGAGATATCGTCCAAAAACTGAATATCGTAGCCCATTACAGAATTTGATTAAATGGTAAAAACATGAACGATATGTCAAAACATTGTTTTTGGACAATATCGCAGAAAGTAAAGGAGATAGAGAGTTTTTTGTTATAACCTTTTTTGTAGATCCGGTTTTGCACTACAATAAAGGTTCTTACCGAAAAATCGATATTTTACTTCAATCTTGAGATATTGTAAAGAAACTAATTGGTGACTGAATTTAGCGATATTTCTTTGATCAATATGACTGAATCTATGCTAGCCTGGAGAATTTTCATACGAGCTTTTTGCTAGATCTTATTTCGTTCTACAAAAAAGATTGAGACAAAATTTTCCCTATCTCCTTGGGATTCCAAGATATTTTCGAGAAACTAATTTTTTTGGTATGAAACAATATGTGTCGACACACCGTTTTTGGACAATATCTTTTTTTTTTCTTTTATTTAAGCGCAAAACCTACAGATTTATACAGCTGTCAATAGAAAAAAAGAAAGTATATATATAATATAATTTACACCTTATTGTAGTATCAAAGTTGTGACATTTCTTCCTTAAATTGAACATTTCTTTTTTTTCTTTTTTTTTTTTTCCTAAGGATTAGTTAACAATTATAGTTCATTATACATCTATTCGGGCGTCGTTCAGAAAATTCGTGAGGATCTTTATGATTTTTGAGTCGAGTTCTTTTAGCATGGTTTGACTTGAGTACGGAGGATATATTTGGTTTTTGGTAAGTGAATTGTACATGGTTTGTCTAGCTGCGTCGTGGCGTGGACAGTCCCAGAGGACATGGTCCAGGTTTTCACTTGGGTGCCCACATTGGCATTGAGCTGATTCAACAAAATTTTTTCTTTTCAGAGAAGCAGCCAGGTGATAGTGATTGGCTCTGGCTCTGTTGATCCGGACTATTGCCCTTCTGGAGAGCCTTCTATTATGGAACCATGGTTTGCGTTTTCTTTCGTAAAAGTACCTGGTGTACTGTTTTCCCTTGCCAATCACGGTGTTGTCATTAGCTTCTTCGATGCATATTTCCAATGTTTCGTTCAGAGAATCTAGTTTGAATTTTTCGCGAAAGTCGGTAAACGGAAGAGGCAGTGGCGAATTTAGGGGAGAGTCCGTGGCTTCTCCCGCCAACCGATCAGCCTCCTCATTGCCCTCTATTCCCGAGTGTGAGGGAACCCATTCGAACTTTATTACATTTTGGCCATTATTCCTTTGACTAAATCTTGCACAGTTATCCTTGATTTCTAGAATTAATTTGTTTTCCCTCACACCCGGGGTGGGTCGTGATAAGGAGGTGATGGCGCTGAGAGAGTCAGAAAGGATCCTGTAATTCGAGAATGGAGAATCAAGGATAGTTCTGACGGCCTCATTGATCGCCATGCACTCCGCCGTGTATACCGATGCTTGAGGATTAATACTAAAGCTCATGGTTATATTGAGTTCTGGAGAGAAACAAGCCGAGCCAACGGAAACTCCGCCTGACTTCTTACTCCCATCTGTGTACATTGTTATATTATTTTCCATGGTAGGTCTCGCAGTTGGTTCAGCATTCGTAATGTCGTCCTCTTTTGCAGGTGTTGACATAATTGTCTCGTAATTGTAATTATACATGCTAAAATGATTCTCGATACACAGATCAGGAATTAGCGGTACAATTTCACGGATACATTTGTTGATGAGTCGCTTTTTGTTTCGAAAGGAATATTCATAATTATCGACATACTCAGTCAAAGAATGCGAGACCTGTGAGCTTCTGTTGGACATAGCTTTGACAAGGAAGTTTTTACATAAAAACGTTGATCGTTTTTCAATGTAGGGGAGTTTGCTCTCTGCCATAAGGACATTAGTTGGGGTGGAGATTCTGTACCCCATACTAAATCGAATGGCAGAGAATTGAAGTCGTTCAAGCTTTATGGAGTCTTGTTTGGTAGTGGGGAAAGAGATGAATGCACTGTAGTCTATTGCGAATCGGACAAAGGATTTGTGGATGATGAGTAAGGTTTCAGGGTGGGCCCCCCCACCAGGTACCTCGAAGGAATTTTATTATGTTTAGGGACTTCAGTGAAGATTTGAGAACGTTGGCTAGCTGTGGCTTAAATGTCAATCTCTGATCGAATGTAACACCTAGGAATCTCGCCTCAGACGAACATTTTATGGCATGATCATCAATTCGGATTTTAGTATTAGTGGGTGCCTTTTTTCTTTGGTGGAAATGTACTAGTTGGGTTTTGGCTGGCGATAAAGTGAGACCGATTTCCCGTAAATTATTGTCAATAGTTTTTACTGAGTTCTCCATTAGATTCTTCATGGTGGCGACAGAGGTAGAGCTGGTATAGATAGCCAGATCATCAGCGAATTGGGAAATTATTACATTCTCCGGAAGATTATTGATAATGGAGGACACGTATATGATGTAGAGCAGGGGGGAGAGGGCTCCCTCCTGCGGAATTCCTTTGTAAACATGTCTAGGTGTCGAGTTGTACGGAGACAAGATTTGTTTTTCATACGTAAGGAATTGCACGAATTTCACGATTGACAGGGGGCATCCTATCGCAGCTAATTTATCGAGGAGTATTTGGGAATTGACGTCATCGAATGCCGATTTCACGTCTAGGAATGCCGCCAGAGATTCTTGGTTTTTGTGTAAGTTGGTATCGACGTATAGGAGGACATTGGTTAGGTTATCATGGCAGGATCTGCCTTTACGGAAGCCGCTCTGGGAGTCTGGGAGACGGTCAGTGAATTCGACCCACCACTGCAGTCGGTTTTTAATTAGGATTTCTAGGAGTTTGCATAGGCAGGAGGTGAGGGCAATGGGTCTGACCCCATTGCCACCAGGTTTTGGAATAAAATGGAGGTATTGTTTTGACCAGTCTGTGGGAAAATTGGAGGTGGTGAACATTTCGTTAAAAATGTCTAGGAGGAGTAGGTGATATTTCAAGGGGATTTTTTTAAGTGCAGTGTAATCGAGACCGTCCATTCCTGGGGCGGACTTATTGCGACGAGAGCTCAGCGCAAGATTGAATTCAGCGTACGTGAACGGTGCTTCCAAAGTTTCATTCTGTTTGCAGAGGGGGAGGTATTGAGGATCGGAGGGTACCCACGAGGGACTAATAGAATTTAGAGATGTCTCGACTAACTCATCTGTTTTGGCGTTTACTCTTATATTAATGGGGCTGTTGTTGACCTAGCTGTTTTTAAAAATTTTGCAGGAATTCCACACATAAGTGCCGCTTTTTCTGATATCGATAGTCTCTGCAAAAGATCTGAAGCTTGTTTTTTTCTTTTTTTTAAAAAGCTTACACGCTGCTCTAACTGCCCTCCTGTGATGCGCGTAATCTTCAGGGGATTTCGTAGCTTTCCATGTCGCGATGGTCTCGATTCGGTATTCCCGAGCCCTGGTACACTCAATGTCCCACCAGTGCACGGGATTTCGATGGTGTGAGGGTTTAACAAGGGTCTTGTGTGGGGTATTCACCTGTATGGCCTCAGATACGTGGCTAACGAATTCATCATATTTACCAATAGCCGAGAGTCCTTCGTAATCTGGATTCACAAAGGTTGTTTCAAAGGAGTTGAGTAGAGATTTTTTGAGGGAACCCCAGTCGGTTCTGACTGAGGATAGCTTGAACGACTTTTTAATATATATGTGCTTTTCAATGACAACTTGGGTGAGAACGGGGAAGTGATCCGACCCATGGGTTTCGTCTTCCACTGAGACTTTGAGATTATTGGCTAGCGAGGATGTTGATAGTACGAGGTCTATATTGGATTCACTATGTTCATCAAAACGTGTAATAGTGTCTGGGTTGTGTATAACTAAATCATGTCTTTCTGTGGAGTCGAATAATTTATCACCATTCTGCTTGGATTCTTTACAGTTCCAAGCTGGATGGTGGGCATTGAAGTCGCCCATTAGAATTGACTGGTCAGGAGGAGAGGATAAAGAACAGATTTTGTCCCAGTCGGAAGGGGGAATTGTTGTGTGGGGTGGTTTATAGAAGGCATAGAGTTTTATTGCAGGAAGAGAGTTGGTGATCTTAAAACCAATCGATTCTATTAGTCTGTCTGAGATATCTGGCGTTTCAATTTGTTCGTAAGTTATGTTTTTTCTAATAGCTACTAGCAGGCCACCTCCCGTATTGTACTGTCTATCTTGCCTAATTATATAAAAGCCTGGAAAATTGCGCTCGCGAGTGTCTTCTCGTCTGAGACGAGTTTCAGCGCATATCAAAATGTCTATTTCTTGTACCATCGTTTGTAGTTCTGGCTGGCGGAGATCAAAGGTGCGGCAGTTCCAATATAAAATTTTTAGGGTTCTACGTACGATGGAAGATCCTGGTGGCTGTAAGGCGTTCGGATGGCTCTGAAGATCTGAATGTAAGCTGGAGCTGGATGAAGATGAATATTCTGTGTGTTCTGCCATTGTGTTTCTATTCACTCCCGACGTCGTTATCAGTGCTCCATCGTCTCAGCCGGAGAATCCAGCTGACCTTTGGAGCTTTGGGGTTCAACTTGGTGTTTATGAAGCAAGTTAACTATCTTCGCTGCCCGAGTTCTCATGGTCTTGGTGGGTAGTTTTGTCCTAACGTAGTCTACCATTGTTGACAGAGCCGTAATGAGTGGTGCCCAGTGCTTTCAAGATCTTCTTCTTGGCTCCTGGTCCCTACATTGGTGATATTGGTTGGGGCAGAGGGGAAGAGGGAATTGTTTTCGTGGGATCTCGGATGAATTGGTTTAAGAGGTGGGAAATTCGGAGGTGTCTTGTCCGTGTGATGCTCGTTGTTGTCGTTGAGGATAGAAACATCTGTGTAATTTTCGCTGCTGTCGTTGAGGATAGTGTTGTCAAGTGATAGTTCCATAGGAGGGGGGTTGGTTGGTGTGTCACTCATTTGCTCAGGGGGGGGGGCAGTACCTCGCCTGCGTTTATTGGGTGAGGTAGATTCAATTGATCGTTAGGTCTTAGGGAATATGTTTGTGTCTTTTGTTGTGTTCTCCTTGGGCAGTTCCTGGCAATATGCTCCTCTTGTTTACATTCAAAGCAAGCAGTCGGGTCAGCACTAATGTAAATAAAGGTGACTTTACCTAAAATGGTAGCTTCGATACGTTCGGGTAGTTTGTGAACATCCTCAGAAGCAATGTAAGTTTGTCGCTTCTGGTACATGAGATGGGTAATACTTTTATTTTTGAAGCCAGCCCTCAGTTTTGTGATGGGAGTTGTCAGTTTAATCCCCTCATTGGATAACACCTTTTCCAGGAAACTGTCCTCGACCTGTGGAAACACGTGGCTGAATAGGACTCTCTTGTTCCTGGTGACGTAGGGCCGTATGTAAATTCTCTGCCCCGCTACTACGATGTATTTCTTGGAATTCACGAGTTCGTCCACTGTTCTCTGACTGTCCAACCAAACAATGATTCGGCCACCATATATCACGTCTGTATTGAGCATTTTCGGGATAGGAACAATTTCAGTGAGCGCCATTATGTAATCTTCGTGGGTTGCGTTTGCACTTCTTTCCAGTATAATCGCTTGTTCGAAAACAAGTTTACTGGGGGATTTTGCCATATCGACGTATGAGGTCCTCGACGCATTCTGGAGTGTAACACTAGCTGTGGGTACTTCGCTTTGGGTGTTCATCGCCATTAGCAGGTCCTATCCAGATGGACCAACTAATCGTGTAACTATTGTTATAGACTATAAGTGGTTATTTCACTCGGTCACGAAACAAGAAAGCTCTTGTCATTTGGGCGACACTTCAAACACGCGGAGCGCTTGCTGGACACGTCTGTACGCTACGGTGTCTCGAGTGAGACTCCAGGACAATATCTCTGAGAATGTAGGAGATAGAGATTTTTTTGTAACGACTTTTTTTGTAGATCTAGTTTCGCACCACAAGAAAAGTCTTTACCAAGAAAACGATATTTTGCTTTGATTCTATGATATTGTGAGAAAACTAATTGGTAACTGAATTTGGCGACGTTTCATTGATGAATATCACTGAATCTATGCTAGACACAAAAATTCTTATAGAAGCTTTTTTGTAGGTCTTATTCTGCTCTACAAAAAAATCTTAACCAAAATTTCTCTGTTTCCTTTGGATTCCATGATATTTTTGAAAAACTCATTTTTTTAGGACTAAATTTTGTTTTTCTCTGCATTTTACCCCTGAAACAGTGAGAGCACCAAAATTAAAAATATGTTCTCGTTGCAAAATTTCCTGAACATTTAGATAACCATATAAAAAATGGAAAAAACTTTAGGGAACGACCCCAAATGGCTGTTTGAAACTTTATTTTTGAGTTTCCCATGCCTAAATGTATACATAGATTCTATGTTTTTTTCAAAAAGCTGAGAAAATTTGCGACGAAATTTATGGGTTCAATTTTTTTTGTCGGTTACAGTGGTTTGTAATTGTAATTGAAAAAAAACAAGTTTTTAGGAGAAAAAAAAAATCTTCCATATCTCCGCAAAAAATTGAGATAGAGACCTCCGGTTACGCTCATTTTACTCCATTTGGACTATAGTTTTCGATAAAAAATTTAAAAAAACCTTTCAAAATTTGAAGGCTTTTTTTTATATATAGAATTGGCGGATTCGCTCATATGGAAAAAGGCAATATCTATGAACATTCTTTTCAAAAGGAAATTTCTAATAAAAACTTACAAGAAAGTCACTTAATTTTGCCATAAAAATTGGTTCAAAAAATCAATAATTCTCCGAGAAAAAACCTGACAGAATAAGGAATTCCTTTATAGAATAATAAATATGAATAAGTCATTTTGCTATAGGCGAATGTCTATTCGTGAATGCACGGGAAAGTTGAATGAAGGAAAATTGATTGCAAAAAAAAACAGAGAATCCCACAATAGATTTTCGATAAGAACCGAATGGGATTTCTATAGGTTTCCAATGAAAATTCAGCGAAATCTCTTAGAGAAAACATTAAATTTTCTATCAAATCCCTTCATAAGTAATGAAATAAGCGCAACTAATTAATTCTCTAATTTTTTTTCACACAATATCTTTCCTCAGATATTCTCATTGAAGAGGTTTGGTGCGATTTCCATAGAAGATGTTGTTTGAAGATATTTAATCAGATGTGGTCAAAGATTCCGGTTTCCATAAAACTGTTGAGTATAATCTCCATAAGTTCTTTCCCCTGTAATTTCATTGATTTTTCACGATGAAAACCGAAAATCCATGTCCCAGAATTCTCATAGAAGAAATCTCACTGCGATTAGTGGAATAAAAAAATCTGAATCTATAGATATTCTTCTATTTTTGAAAGGATTGATGACAAAAAATATATCGAATTTTTGAATAAAATTAAGTTCGAATTCTAATAGAGTTCCGATAAATATTTAACAGCATCTCTTGAAGAAAATGCTAAAGTTTCTATTACATGGTTTCATAAATGATGTTATAAACGCAGCTGATGAATTCTATTGATTTTTTCCCTAGAATATCTTTCATTCAAGAAAAGATATGCAGGTATGCAGCAGAATTAATTTCATGTCAGTCTCCAAAAAATAATAAAAAGGTCAAAGAAATACGATCACAATTTCCATCAAAGTCATTAGGTGTTTCCATAAAAATTTTTGCGTATATCATCATGCACGACTGTTCCCTACTTTTTATTTAACCATTTCGATTTTACAGATGAGTGTATATCAAGGAGCTCATGCACAGAAGCACCAGTGAATCCAGAAGTACTCGTTGCCTCTATTGATGAAAGCAATCAAAAGAATCTTGAAAAGCCTAATCTTGATGAGACATACATACTTCCCGCAACTTCAACCGCCGTAACTCCACAAAACTACGTTTTAAACGAAACGGATGAGCCTGTTTCGACAACTTCACGAGATAATGATATGTCACAACTTCATCTCAAGTCCCCAATAAATAAAACCAAATACGTTGACAAAGAGCATGATGGTTTTATTTCACCAGCATCAGCATCTCTAAACGTAGCAGAAGAAACTGAGCAAGTTATCGTACAGGCGAATGATGATGACCATAACTCTAATCAGGGACATCAAGGAGCTTCGGAAAGGTCGAGGAGATTTGATTATAAAACCAAACAACAACGTGAGTCAACTGGAGAAAATATGGATCTCAATGAGTCACTCGCCACTGGTGCAGGTGGAGTGAGGATTGGAGTACAATCGGAGAAATTGCAGAAGGAAAGGAAGGAATCTTCATCTACAGAGGGTGGAAATTCTGCTAGAATTCCGCTGAACTTGCAATCTCCCAAATCATCAAGTAGTAAGAAGCAGAAGAAAAGTAATTCATATAAGAGTGTGATATTCACACATTATTTGAGATAACTTCGTCAATTTTTTGTGTGCCAATGTTTTTTTCCCTTGAAAATTCTCACTTAGTTGGGATTTTCCATACTATTCTCTCAACATTCAGAACACTTACAATTTTGTTTTCGATTTCTCTGAACATAAATGCAGGCAAAAAGTCTATCTTTGATACTCTCCAACTCTCAATGCAATTCCATATTTCCTAAGAAGTAAAAAAAAATATTCTTATTTTCATTAGTTATTCCCAAGTGCAATTCCTCGTTTTTTCGTTCACATATTGTTCCATTCGCCTGATATAATCGAAAATGCCTTGAAATTTAGAAAAATCGAATTTTTCCATTGTTCAATCAACAACAGATTTTTTGTGCTTGTTCTTCGCCAAATCTTTTCTTTCTATTCTTTCATCATTACTTTCCTCCTCTCTCGAAGTTTCGAAAAAGAAAACTTGATATGGCGAAGAAAAATAGATTTTCGTGAATGGTGATAAAACAATTCGTAAACATTAGCACTATGAGAATTCTGAAGATACAAAACCATACGAATAATTGGCAACAATTATGCCCTTATTTACTTAAAAGTCCATTGTCATTTATTTTTTCCATTCCTTCAGGTAACTTCTCGAGCAGGTTGGTTCATCAGAAAACAGTCATTCCCGAAATGCCTAGCAAGCCATTGGAGGCGGAGTATTATCAGGATCCTAGCCAACAAGAAAGCAGTTGCAGAAGTAACCTTCCTATCAACACCCCCCTGGGGTATCTTGGAAAGACGACCAATGAACAATCTATATATGATCTTCATCACAAGATAACATGTAATCTCGAAATCTCTGTTGGAAAAGCCATCACTCAAGGTGTACCAGAGGATGTCACAAAATTTGGGAGGAAGAGAAAACGAGAAGAGAGGTCAGCGCCAAAAATCGGGAGCGATGAAATTGTGAATATAGCATTATCAAAAAAATTGAAAAGAAGCGATTTCGTTAAGAAGAAAGAGCCTGCCAAATATAAAAGTACAACTAAATTCACATATAACACTCGACAGAAAGATGGAAATGCGAAAAAATCGATGCACTCATCTGCAGAATCGGAATCAGGAGATGCATCGAGTGGTTCTGAGGAATGCTACAACAACGAGTCTGAGTCGCAGAGGAGAAGGAGAATGATAGCGGATTTTGACGAATCGGGTGACGATGATGATGATAAAGAATATGAACCAAGTGGCGAGGAAGAGAATTCATCGGTGGATGAGGAAAATTGGGTGTCAGAGTATGAGAACCTTGAGGAGGAGCTGAGAGTAGAGAAAGAATTTTCAGAATCCCTCAATATCACTCTTGGAGATAATATTCAAGCTTCTGCTCCAGATGATAGGGAACTTTTTGTAGACCAATGTTCATCAACAACGAAGAGACACTTTTGTTTGTATTGCAAAAGATTCCAAACTAAATTGGCACGACATCTACAACTCAAGCATTCAGATGAAGCTGAAGTAAAAAAATTCTTGGCTCTTCCACCCAAAAATCGAGAACGACTGGAGATAATTGCTACAATCAGGAAAAATGGTGATCATCTCTATAACACCGATCGACAATTTAATAATGGACAACTCGTTGTCTGCAGACGTCCATCTGTGAAGAAACAGAAGAAAGTTGAAGACTATATAGCTTGTGGTAATTGCAAAGGCCAGTATACCAGGAGTAATATTCGTCAACATTGGGGGAAGTGCACCGATAAAAATGGGAAGCACGAGAGTATTGTTCTTGTGCAGGGGAAGAAAATATCCGCAAGAGTTCATGAAAAGGCAAGTATGGATGTTAGAAAACACATCTTTCCATATCTCCGTGAAGACGAGGTTGTACGAAGTGTCAGGTACGATGAATTGATCATAATATTTTTGAATACACAATGTGAGAAGTATGGCACTCATGAATATCTCTACCAAATGATCCGTGCAAGGCTGCGTCTCCAATAAACAAAACGTTAAATTAATCAAGTTTAATTAAACGTGACTTGAGAAACAAAAAAAAAATGATAAAAACATGGAAACAAGAACGCAATGAATTACAGTAGCAAAGTGGTCAAGTAAGATATGTCACTTTTGACTATCGACAAGGTTTCAAAGAATATCGCGGAATCTCCGGAAGATAGCAAAAAATTTATTATAAATTTGTTGTGGGGCCAATTGAGTTCTACACCAAATGTAGTTATAAAAATTCCACTATCTCCCTTAGATTAGGAAATATCCCTCAAAAAATAACCTGTGAGAAGTATATTTATTCTGTCAAATGTTTATTGCAAAACTGCGGAAACATTCTAAAATTCGTATTAGAACAAAAAACCA